AAGCCACGCATCCGGCCCGCAAATGTGTTGGTACCAGAGGCTTCTTCGGCTGCCTTGTTTTGGGTCGGGCGCTCCTTAGTGCCAGTACCGGAGCCTGATGGTAGATAGGTGATACTGTGGAATTCAAGCGTTAAGTCTTGTTCTCTAAGTGCTGCGTTAAATAGGGCAGCTGTGGCTGGATTTTAGTAGTTCAACAAAGCATCTGTATTGTGAGCATTTTAAATAAAGAGAGCCGTTTTATCAAAACACTCTCAGCCTGCTCAGACCATTCGCTACAGAAACTTTTTGAAGGTTCTGAGTATCAGATATAAGTGGTTTTGTGCTGCTTCTTGTTTCACAGGCTAGAAAATATGTCTAGGATTCTCTTCATCCTGTCCTCATGTATGTTAGATTTTGTACATTCAGTACTGATGTAGAGAAATCATGTAAATGCAGGTAGGTGCAAAGAATCTGGAGGCCAGGCGACATGTTTCCTCCTCTTCTGTTAGTGGAGAAACAGGCTTTCTGGTTGATGTCGTGCTTGTGGCTGGGTTAAGAGTGGTAATTTGATCTTCCGTGAAATCCAGTGGTGTAATTCCAGGTCTTACTAGCTTTTGACTTGTGGCTGCTGCCAAAGAGATGCATGAAAACTTGTCTTCCTCTGGATGTGTCTGTATAACCTTGTGGGAAACTGGACTAGGCAGCCAATATACGACTATTAAATAAGTGATTTAATTTTTTTTCAATAGATTACATTGAAATAGTTCCCCAGTCTGCTGATAATCATGGAGGGCACAATAGGACCTCTACTTTCAGGATGGTGTGGTTTATGCTATTAAAAAGCATTTGCCCAAAACAGCCTTTTGTCACTGTACTGCCAAAAGACCCCAATAACTTGACCTTATTTGTGAAGTGTGTCAGATGAAATCCATGGTGCAACCTCTATAAGGCTGCTGTGCAGCTGGATTTACTGTTCTGTTTTAAAAATATTTCATTGCCTAAACAAGATTATCTGTAACTATGTCATTTTTGGCTCTGAAATTCAATTATTTATGGAATTCTTTTTATCTGGCCAGGTCTGAGTCATGAACCCAAGGAGGGTTTTTTGAAGAGTTTTATGTCTTGCATTTGCTGGAGACTTAAATTTCTGTATTTCTTTGAAGAGTCTTCATCTTGTCAGCTGATAGAATCGTAGTTAGTAAAAAACCTTTTTTTCATATAAAATTTGATTAATTGATTGCTTGCCAAGTCTCTCAGATAGAAAATAACATAGCTGGACCAATTATTTTCTTTGTATGCAGCTGGTAAGTTGTACTTCAGTTAAAACTCTTACAGACATTCCTGTTTGAAAGTTGATTTTCCCTTATATTGCAGAGAAAACTAGCAAAATGATGATTGGCTGCTTACATGAGTTGCTCTAAAATTCATGGTGTTTTATGTGCCCTTTGGAGGAAACCGAATTAATTTGATTTGTAATATAATTTTTCAAATTCCAAATTATTAATACTATTCTGCCTATCCTGGGTTTTGTAGGGAAGTCAATGTCTTTGTAGGAAAACAGACTTTCTGCCCAGCTGCTGCAGCAGGTCCCTATCAGTATTTATTTTGGATACTGTAAAGCAGTTTACTTTCCTCTTGCAAGACTGTTGCTGCTTACATGGTGTTCTGGTTTTGCTGGGATAGAATCAGCTGTCTGTTCTGGAAAGCTGTATTCTGAGAAGACTGCAGCACCCGAGTCACAGGGAACAAAGTTGCTCAGAGCTTTGTTACAGTTTGTGGCCAGCCTAGGTGTGTGGGTTTCAATAGTGATCAAGGTCTTTGGCAGCTTCCAGTCAGCCAGGTGCTAAAGCTGGGAGGAGAGGAAGCCAGAGCAGCTGACCCAAGCTGACCAACATAAGTGTCCTATACCATAAACCTCACACTCCCTATAAATTGGAAAGTTTGCTGGGGATATCTCTGTCTCTCTCCAAAATGGTGACATCCTGGAGGGTGTCTCCTGTCCTGCTCCTGAGGCCTGCTCTCCTGTTTGTTGTGACCATTGCGCTTTTGCTGCAGCTGTGCTGCTCGCAGTATTAGTTTTTATTAGGTTTTTTATTAGTTTTTTTATTCAATCTGTTTCTATTTCAACCCACGGGTCTCCTTTACTTTTTCTGATTCATCTTCTTGCGTGGAGAGGGGTCACTGGGTGATAGAACAACTGACTCAATGAAACACATGGTTATCCTGAAGTGAGATTGAGTGGAATATGAAATATTTTAAACAGATCTTTTTTACCTACTTTGGGGTTTTTTTGCAGCCCTTCAGAGTAAGTGACAGCCAGGTACATGGGTTATAGGACTGACAGGAATTTCCCTAGCAGCAGCACTGCATGGGAGATCTTATCCCATAATTGAACTGTATGTCTCTATTGTTGTTTAAATTTACTATCAAATATGGCTGATCGCCACTACTTCAATCTCAAGTGCTGTTGGTTGTTGCAACAACAGTTGTTAAAAAGACTTGTTTTTCAAGTGTCATTCCAGTTCTGACCACCCTCTATATGAACTCTGATTCCCATTACTTGCTGTAAGCAATACAAACAAGAGATCACTCTTGTTTAGAATTTGTTTTCTGTGCAATTGATTCTATCCTGTTTTGGTTTTTTTTCTCCACACAGGTGTGGAAAAATGGCAAAGAGAATTGCAGAGAAGGAATTGACTGACAGAAATTGGGATCAGGAGGATGAAGCTGAGGAGGTATGTGTATCTATACATTAGATTACCCATCCCTACCCCTGCAGGTAGTATATGTGGTAGTTACTTGTGCTATTTATCTTGTGGGCGGAATCTGCAATTAAATTGGTTAAAGTCTAGCAATTAAAGATAATGTTATAGAAGATTTTTTGTTTGGTTGTTTGTTTTTTTTTTAAATAAAACTTCCAGTATAGGTAGACCTTATGGTATGGCAAAGCAGCTTATAACAGTTAAAATGACATCAGAAACTTAGGGGAAAAGAACTTTACATTTCTAAAGGGAACCCCCCCGGTTGTTAAAATGTATAATGCTTTTGAAATCTTCAAATGTGTGATGGTATTCATTGAGTTCACAAGAAAAGCTCTTTTGATTTCTTGAGATAGTTGACTCTAGGCTTCACTGACATAACACAGTCTATATACCTTATCTTAATGTCTCATGGCCTTTTTTTAAGGTCAGTAATAGTTAATTTCAGAAATAAGGAGTGCTTCGCTGAATGTCTCTGTGTAGCCAGAGGAATTAAGCAGTCAAATTTGATTGTAAAACAAGACTTTGATGTCTAGTGTCTCATTTATTTTTGCTTCTTATATTGTCTTTAAACAAACTGTGCTAGCTTTTGTGTTACTAAAATATTAAATGTCTAGGCCTATGAAATATAATAAAAAAAATGCTAGTAATCTTTCAGAAACTTGAATATAAGAAAGTTTAATTTTCTCCTTTATTGTGGGGTAGTAATTAGTCATTAGCTTCCTTTGTTAATAGTGGAACTACAGCAGATTGCAGGGGATTGATTGACTTTGACCCTACATCTCAATATACCTTCTCTAAACTGAAGATTGCTTGTAACAGTGCAATACTGACAGGCTGCCTTCAGCGAAGATACCTTATGGTTTTGTTGAAGAAAAATAAATTAATTGAAAAATTGTTGAATTAGCTGTCATAATAAAGTTGGGATTGCAGAAAAGGAAATGTAGTGCAGAACAAGGAAGAGTTTTGAAAGTATCAACTATTTGTCCACCTAGCTGGGCAAGCTAATTACAATACTACCTGTTCTGGTTTGTTTGGTCTGTTTTGTTGAGGTTATTTGACTTGTTATGGAGAAGTGTTATGATTGTGTTAAAAAAAACCCTGATCTCAGCTATTCCTTCAGACTTTGAGGACTTTATGCATTCTGAGAATTTCACTAATGATTCCATAACTTCTCCTTAAAGGTGGGAACTTTCTCAGTAGCAAGTGAAGAAGTCCTGAAGAACAGAGCTATTAAAAAAGCAAAGCGCCGAAACGTTGGATCGGAGGTAACGTGTAATCACTGAGCATTAATGTTGTAGTTTGGCTCGGCTGCAAAACATGCCATCCATCCTGAGGTTTTTATTTGTTTGGGCTTGTAATGATGGTGTGTAAAGCTGTCATTTAGTAGGTATATGCAACTAGTCCAGGTCATTCATGCAAATGAATTTTTGCTTACTGTTCCATAGCAAGGGAAGGGATAAGGCTAGAATGAAAAAGGGGTAATAATAGTGTTGTCCCAAAATCAGAGTTCTTCACCTGGTGTTCAAAAAACAATTGAGACACAGAGCCAAGATACTTCTATTCCAGTTCTGTATGGAAAAGGGGATGCTAGGTGATAATTCTCAAAGCAGGGTCTTGTCTACATAATAACAACAAAGAGGAAACTAGAATAAAGTGCATAATTGGTTAGTAATTAATTCTCTTATCTCAGGGCTGGTGCTATCTTTTGTTTGAGATTAGGCCACGTCTGATTAAGGCCAAGGTCTGATGCCACCCCACCCCCCAACAACTACACAAGCCCACCTGGTTTCTAAACCTGGAATATTTATGACTATTAACCCTTGTCTTTCAAGAACACTGCTAATGACTGGGTGAAGGGTGATGTATATTTTTGAAGGATAACTGCAAGAGTGTTTCAGACACAATGTCTTCTACAGATGGGTAAAATAGCATTTGATAAACTGCTCCAGTTTCATTCTTTGCAGAGATGGGAGCCTGGAATTTAAAAGTTACTAGTTGTCCACAGTGGAGGGCTGAGGGATGTCTCAGGCAGATGTTAAATAAGCAAAAGCTGTTCTGAGAAAGAAAAAAGATATCTTTTGTTAAGAATGTGGCTATTTTTTTTATCCCACAAAGAGCTTCAGTGGCACCTACTCTCTGTAATAACAAATTGAGAATGGAGAGGAATTTGGCTTTGTTACAGGTTTAGTCCCCATGAAAGCATTAACTCAGTCCAATCAGATTCTGGTCCTTTCAAAAATCCCTGACAGATGCTTTGTCATATATATTTTTCTATGAAATGCTCTTCCAGCAGCATATGCCCCATGTTAGAAATAGGACAGATATTTTACCTATTGTTCACATTGATTTTGGATTGAATGGGACTATGCACAACAAGGCTAGATAGTTTTCTCCTGTCCTTTTGGTTTTTCTTTTGCAGTCCTAGCAGTGTAAATGAGGAAGCTGTCCTATTGCACTTTTGCCTATAGTACAAATGTGGTAGAGGATGCAGTACTGGGAAAACGTGATGCAGGAAGTAATCCACAATGGAACAGGAGAGATTTGGAGGCAAATGGAATAGGGAAAACAGGCTGAGAAAAGGGACCAGATGATTGCAGAAGAAATACTCAGGAGGCTGGGTGTCAGCTGTTAAGAGATAAAAGCTACAAGAGGAGCTAGGATTGGCTGGGCAAAGTCTAAAAAGGAGAAGAGACAGCGGGACAGCTGAGGCTGCATAAGAAACCTGTGAAACATTTGCAAAAAGAGAAAGTTTACTGATGTCTGTAAATGGAGCAAGCAGAATGCTGTAAAGGAAAAGACTGCAGTTGATCTTGAGTGTCCAGAGAGAGAGGTAAGACTGATCCAAGAGAGACAGAATAAAAATAGCTACCTAGAAATGAGGAACAGAGGGCTGCACTGGAAAAGGTAAAGCACAAAGTGAGCAAAAAGAGCCCAAACTCACAAGGTTGTACCGGAACCTAAAATTGGTAAGTTTTGCTATTTCTTCAGTGGCAAAAGCAGATGGAACTCGGAAGCAATTCTCCTTTTCCTCTGGTGGCTTTCCAGAGACATTGAAACACCACTTCCACTAATAAGTGCTTATTACCTCAAAAGGGCATTAGGTGTACTACCTAAAAATGGCAGTGTCTATTTGTGTGTCAATGCCACTGTATCTTTTAAAAATGGGTAGGAAACTATACCATAAAATAATATGGTTTCCAAGATAGTGTTTAGGTAATGAAAAGGCTGCAGGAAGCATACATTTTCTGTTACCTAGTCCAGCCTTATCTTTGCTTCTCCCATCAGTCACATTGAAACGTGTGGTAAATCACTGAAATGTTATACAGGTGACTACAAAGTAAGGTGTTTTGATGACTGGCTTCAAGTGTTGGAGACTAATTGTGGTCATAAATGCTAAAAGTTGCTGAAAATAAGCCCGCAATTAAATATTGCTGTGTAATTATTGAAAGAAAACAAGATGCTATGGATTTCTAAATAGGTAGTCAAACATATCTCCTGCTCTGAACAACTTTTATACATCCACTTCCTAGATCTAGCTTATTTTCATACCAGGCATCTGAGTCCTTTAAAAATAGTAGTAATATGTGTCATAATAGAGGTATTAAATTTGTTGACATAATTGACTTAGAATAATGCATGAAATGACACACTGAATCAGAGTAAAATAAATGGAATACTAAGTGGGCATAGGCATAGTGTCCTTGTGGAAGGCATGTATGTAACTGGTTGTCTTTTTTTTTTTTCCTCCCTCCAGTCTGAAAGTGGAGGTGCTTTTAAAGGTTTTAAAGGCTTTCTATTGCCTTCTGGAAAAGGAGGAGGTGGCTTCAGTGGATTTGGTAACGGTGCAGGAGTAAAGCCCTTAGAAGGGCTGTCTAATGGGAGCAGTAGTGTCTCTAGCACCCCTTCTTTCAGCAGTTTGAAGACCACGTCTGAAACACAATCAGCATTTGGTAAGTTTTAAATGAGCATACATATTTATCAACAAAGTCAGCCCTAAAGTCCCTAGGCTTAATTTAATGGTGAAGAATCACATTCTGTTTTAAGGTTTTCGAACTTTATTCCTTTTTGTAAGATTTCTTAAGAAGATTTTAGACTGCTGGAGGGATAAGTTATGAAATGCATGCAGTTTTAAGAGCTGGAAGCTAAATTCCTATTTGATCTAATGCTGGAGGTAGAAGCTTTATAGGCATAAACAGGAATGGAAGATATTGGCATTAAGACACTCTGAATAGTATAAAACAGCTAATAACATATTCCAATTAAATAATTGTCCAGATTCTCTGAATTTAATTAAAAAAAAAAGATAATGGAAAATGTTGATTTAGTAGGACTGCAGTTTCTCTGTGTGATTATTATTATTTTTTTTTTTAGTGTTCTTGTTTCTGGTTTTTTTGCAGTTCTTGATAAATACATTCTGCATAGCTGAAGTCTTAACCATTTTTTCCCCCCTGTACATCTTACATTGCAGAGTCTTACCAGAATCTTACCTGTTACATTAATACCTATGTTTGAAGACATTTGAACCATTTTGCCAAATCTGACTCATCTCATGCTTTAGTAGACCCTGAAGAATATTAGCTCTGTTGGTGTTAGAGACGCAAAACTCTTAATCATGCCACTGTGTCTCAGAGTCAGCATGCCACATTTAATGAGAATTTTCTTAACTCCTTTATTACGGTTTTTAAATTGAAACCACTCAAAAACCTGCCAAGTCATGGACTTGTGTGTTCAATGTTAAAGAGTAATAGCAAGAGGTAACTTGAATATTTTGTTTCAATAAATATTACAGCTTGGTAAAGCCTGAATTAAGATTTTGGGAGTTTTGGTGAAACACAAAACTTTAATGTTATTCTGTATTATTTCTTTGGCTTTTTTAATACACAGCTGTGTGCTCCATCCCATTGCCTATCCCTGAACTTACTTAAAAGTAGGGGGCTTAGGTCTGTTTTACAGCATTATCTGTGCAGTTGTACCACAGGATCAGATACACAGTGTCGTGATAAAAGACAAGGTGTATCTAACTGAGCAAGAACAGTGATTTGATAAAGAAATATTAAGAATGTGTAGTTTAGGTTTTTAAGAGAATTGTGTCTGCTGGAAAGAAAACACTCTAAACCACGTTTTTGTTTTGATAGGATCCACAATGTCCAATGGTCCTGCTACTACTGCATTTACTGAGAAGAAGGCTGCGAGCCCAAATGCCAATGGTGGCAGTCAACCATCCTCATCTAGCTATGCTCAGAGTAAAGTTTGTAGCTCTGGTGTTTACCACAAACAGTTAGCAGCTTTAAACTGTTCTGTGCGTGACTGGATAGTTAAGCATGTCAACACAAACCCACTGTGTGACCTGACACCCATCTTCAGAGACTACGAGAAGTACTTAGCAAACATTGAACAGCAGCATGGAGGTGGCAGTGATAGCAGCTCTGAAAATGAAAGCAACAAGACATCTGGATCTCAGGCCGTTTCTGCATTTGGGAATTCCAAGCTGCAGCAAGGATCAACATTTTTGTTTAACAACAAAACTGAGGATACCTCGGACAAAAAACCTGAAGCTGCGTCAGAAAAAAAAGCCCCATCCTTAGGAGCTACATCAACTGCCTCATTTAATTTTGGAAAGAGT